CCGCACCTCGCCCGGCTTCGTCCCCACTCACCCGTCGCCCATCACCCATAGAAGGCCAGGAGATGGGGGAAGGGGTAGGGGGCTCCAGACAAATCGGGGGGGGGGGGGGGGGGGCATTGGCCGCCCTCCTCCCTCACCCCCCCGTCCTGACAGACAGACGCAGCAGATACCAACCGCACCGCCACGCTCCAGCTGCTTCGCTTCGCCACGGCTCGCGAAATGCGATCCACACGCGCGCGCGCGCACACAAAGACAAAGACAAAGATCTCCCGTGTAGCCTTTATCAGACTGTTGGAGGCAAGTGCTGTTTGCGAGTAGCACCAATGAAGGCCGGCACGGCACACACACGAAGGGGTGGGTGGCCAGCACCACGCCCGGCCGCGTTTGTCTTCCGAGTGGCGATGTTTACACACCGCACCAGGTAACCATTCAAGGCTGAGTCGACCTAGGGGAGGCCCAAGATGCGGTTCAGATATCCGCCAGCGATGTTGGCTCTAAGAACCAGGCGACCGCTCCCCACACACGAGCACGATTCGAAATAACGATTCAATTTCACGATGTCATCGATTGGAGTAACATCATCTATTCACGTCGCATCGCGAGCGATCAGCCATTATCGATCCACTGCTGGATGAGGGCCTCCCACTCTCCCCACGCCGCTGCCCACTCGCATTCCTCGCGATTCCGCGGATGTAAAAATGATCCGCCCAGCACCCGCACGTGAACTGATTTTTGCTCGCTCCGTCTCCTCGGTTGGACGTTGTCCTCTAGGACGGACAATTGTGAAATAATCGATGATTTGACGGAAATCCATTCAATGCACGTTGTCGGTCAGGGTAATCGCTAGATATTAATCGATATAATTTATCCCGCGGGCATTTGCCGTGTTCTCCAGATTATAAGACGCATTTCCACCCCCCCCCCCCTATATTTTAAGGGCAAAGCAGGAGGTGGGTCTTATAATCCGGTGCGTGCGCACGTGGGACCAGATCTGCGCGGAGCGGTGGTGCAGTGGTTAGCGCACTGCGAACCCAGCGATCCGCGTTCGATTCCCGCTCATCGCCAACACCGGCGAGAGCTGATCTGACAATCGTCGCTGGTGTTGGTGGCCGTGGGCAGGGAATCCAACTCGGGTCGCAGGGTTCGCGGCGCAACGTAGCGCTAACCGTTGCACCGCCGCTCCCCAGGTGTAACACTTCACACACACAGACAGACACGGCATCATCTGCGATATCAATCGTCCGGATGGCGCCCGATCTCACGGGATCTCAAATAAACAACTCAGCACGACCGTCAATAGACACCGTGGCATTAAATACAAATAAATCATGGGCGACGTTTCGGGCAATGGGCCTGACCAACATGCCTAAAACGATGGTGTTATAGGCGGTAAAGGCGATCTATATAGGGGAGCGAGGAGGGTTACATGGGTGTGAGTGGGATCAATGGGGGAAGGGGGGTGATGGGATCAGTAGAAGAAGGGGGGATCTACAGGGAGACGAGTAGAATCAATGTGGATAGCGAGGGGTCTCTGTGGTGGGTGGAGGGGGGGGGTCAATGGGGGGCGTGGGGCAGCACGTCCATGCCGCACGGGGCAGGGATGCCCAGCTGTGCGCGCGGGAACCATCTGTCGCCTAGACCATGACAGGATAGTGACTATGACAGGATAGTGACTATGACAGGATGGTGACTATGACAGGATGGTGACTATGACAGGGTAGTGACTATGACAGGGTAGTGACTATGACAGGATGGTGACTATGACAGGGTAGTGACTATGACAGGATAGTGACTATGACAGGATAGTGACTATGACAGGATGGTGACTATGACAGGATGGTGACTATGACAGGGTAGTGACTATGACAGGGTAGTGACTATGACAGGATGGTGACTATGACAGGGTAGTGACTATGACAGGATAGTGACTATGACAGGATAGTGACTACGACAGGGTAGTGACTATGACAGGGTAGTGACTATGACAGGATGGTGACCATGACAGGGTAGTGACTATGACAGGATAGTGACTATGACAGGGTAGTGACTATGACAGGATGGTGACCATGACAGGGTAGTGACTATGACAGGGTGGTGACTATGACAGGATAGTGACCATGACAGGGTAGTGACTATGACAGGGTAGTGACTATGACAGGGTGGTGACTATGACAGGATAGTGACTATGACAGGGTAGTGACTATGACAGGGTAGTGACTATGACAGGGTAGTGACTATGACAGGGTGGTGACTATGACAGGATAGTGACCATGACAGGGTAGTGACTATGACAGGGTAGTGACTATGACAGGATAGTGACCATGACAGGGTAGTGACTATGACAGGGTAGTGACTATGCCAGGGTGGTGACTATGACAGGATAGTGACTATGACAGGGTAGTGACTATGACAGGATAGTGACTATGACAGGATAGTGACTATGACAGGGTAGTGACTATGACAGGGTAGTGACTATGACAGGGTAGTGACTATGACAGGGTGGTGACTATGACAGGATAGTGACTATGACAGGGTAGTGACTATGACAGGATGGTGACCATGACAGGGTAGTGACTATGACAGGGTAGTGACTATGACAGGATGGTGACTATGACAGGATAGTGACTATGACAGGGTAGTGACTATGACAGGATGGTGACCATGACAGGGTAGTGACTATGACAGGGTAGTGACTATGACAGGATGGTGACTATGACAGGATAGTGACTATGACAGGGTAGTGACTATGACAGGATGGTGACCATGACAGGGTAGTGACTATGACAGGGTAGTGACTATGACAGGGTAGTGACTATGACAGGGTAGTGACTATGACAGGATGGTGACTATGACAGGGTAGTGACTATGACAGGGTAGTGACTATGACAGGGTAGTGACTATGACAGGGTAGTGACTATGACAGGGTAGTGACCATGACAGGATAGTGACTATGACAGGGTAGTGACCATGACAGGATAGTGACTATGACAGGGTAGTGACTATGACAGGATGGTGACCATGACAGGGTAGTGACTATGACAGGGTAGTGACTATGACAGGATAGTGACTATGACAGGGTAGTGACTATGACAGGATGGTGACCATGACAGGGTAGTGACTATGACAGGGTAGTGACTATGACAGGGTAGTGACTATGACAGGGTAGTGACCATGACAGGGTAGTGACCATGACAGGGTAGTGACCATGACAGGGTAGTGACTATGACAGGGTAGTGACTATGACAGGGTAGTGACTATGACAAGATAGTGACTATGACAGGATGGTGACTATGACAGGATAGTGACTATGACAGGGTAGTGACTATGACAGGGTAGTGACCATGACAGGATAGTGACTATGACAGGGTAGTGACTATGACAGGATGGTGACTATGACAGGGTAGTGACTATGACAGGATAGTGGTGCGCAGGCGGTCCAACTGCCACAAGGGGTCCAGGCACCGGGCTCCACATCGGGAGGGGGTGAGGAGGTGAATTAGAAGCAGTCGATTGATTCACTCAACCGACTGTGATTTCTGCAGATTCACTCCACTCTGGATGCTGCAGACTCACTCCACCCACTGGGGATTTTGCAGATTCAATCCACTCTGGATTGCAAACTCACTCCGCATTGGATTCTACAGAATCACTCTGCTATGGACACTGCAGATTCACTCAACTGGTGATTCTGCAGATTCAATCCACTCTGGATTGCAAACTCATTCCGCATTGGATTCTACAGAATCACTCTGCTATGGACACTGCAGATTCACTCAACTGGTGATTCTGCAGATTCAATCCACTCTGGATTGCAAACTCACTCCGCATTGGATTCTACAGAATCACTCTGCTATGGACACTGCAGATTCACTCAACTGGGGATTTTGCAGATTCAATCCACTCTGGATTGCAAACTCACTCCGCATTGGATTCTACAGAATCACTCTGATATGGACACTGCAGATTCACTCAACTGGGGATTTTGCAGATTCAATCCACTCTGGATTGCAAACTCACTCCGCATTGGATTCTACAGAATCACTCTGCTATGGACACTGCAGATTCACTCAACTGGTGATTCTGCAGATTCAGACTCTATGGATGAGACCATAAAAAGGGATGATTCAGTAAAAGGTAAACTTTTAAATAACTCCTGCAGATGCTGGCTGTAATCTCCAGCGAAACGTTAGACAAATTTGTCAAAAATGTTGCTGCTGGCCTTTCAATATTCCTCCGATTTGCTGAAACTCCAAATCAAGTGGCATATTTGGCCATGGCGTGTCAACTCGATTCGATTGATTCTGTCGCTGGGTGGTGGAGGGTTATAATAAAATAAAATTGAAATCATAAACGAGGGGGAATTTAAGAAACTTGTGGCGTTGTTCCAACTGCCGCGCCAGGAGGAGGAATGGAACCGGCGGCGATGATAGCAGCAGCAGCATCCTCACAAAAGACAACTCCTAATTAAACAGAAACTGACCTGGGCCAAACATCCCAATGTGGCAGAGCCCTCTTGGGAAAGAGCCCCGAGACACGGCCAGGTTTTTCTCCGCATAAATAAAAAAAATAAAACGCCACTGCCAAGACACCAAATATCCTCACACGTGATTGTAAAACCCGCGATAAATTGTAGGGGCCACCAAAGACAAAGATCCCCCCGTATAGCCTTAACAGATTGTTGGGGCACGTGCTTTTAGCGAGCGCCTATGAAGGCCGGCACGGCTCACGAGAGGCTGGGTGGCCAGCACCACGCCCGGCCGTCTTTGTCTCCCCAGTAGCAATGCGTACACACAATGCACCAGGTACTCATTTGAGGCTGAGGCCCAGGACCAATTTAGATAATCGTCACTGGTGTTGGCCGTGAGCGGGTGATCGTACTCGGGGGCACAGGGTTTGTAGCGCAGCGCGCTGATCTCTACACTACCAATGCCAGCCGCCGCCACCACCACCCACCACCACCACCCACCACAACCACCACCACCCACCAAAGTCATAGCCGCATGAAGAACGCAAAGATCAGCGGAAACTCCTTGAATTTGCGCCGCGTGACCTCGAGCGAAAGGTTTGTATCACTGCCAACAAATTCTTTCGTAACAAAAAAAATATTTCGGAGCTGATCTACGATTTTTGTATGTTTCACACTGGGTGGCTACGATGCTGCCCTTGGTGTTGCTGTGGGCAGGGCTCACTTGCAGCCGGGTCTGTCGCCGGCCTGAAGAAATAATTGACCTGCCGGTAAAACCACATACAGCGTGTATCTCCCTCCCTCTCGCGATGGTTTTAGTTGCTACATAAAGCCCACCAGCGACGCTGGGAATAATCAGTGATAAACGGAGCCTGGGTGTCGGTGACAGGGAAGGCGAGTGAGCAGGTGAGCAGGTAGGTGAGTAGCTGATCGGGTAAGCGGGCGCTTAGGTGAGTGGGTACTTGTGCGGTTAGGTGAGTGGGTGGGTGAGTGGGTGCGCGAGTGGGATTCATTTCAGCCGGGTTTGCCCAGGTCTATTGGAAACCCGTAAAATATGTCTCTGCCTGGCACAGCACATCCAGTAGAGCCTCTTCTTTGCTACTGCTCTGGCTGCTACCAGTCGCGTGCTGGTGCATCCCTGTAATCCAGCACTGTGGAGGCAAGGGTCGGTGGATCACGCAAACGTCGTGAAACTGCCTTCACGCCGGGCATCGAGGCGATGCCCGTACCCTGGCTGGCCGGGAGAAGGCAGTTGAGCAAAGTGCCGACTCCACGTGCTCAGGGGGATACAGCGTTCCCCCCTCGCACGCATGGGGGTTTGTCCGGGTGCTCCGGTTTCACCTCCCACGTGTAAACAGTCTCATTAGATCGGACCGCAGAGCTCGTGGGGGAATTTGGCACCGGCTCCTCACCGCCTGGCTGCTGCTCGTCCTTGGTTCCTCCTCCTCCTATCACGCCTCTGCGCTCGTTCTCTCTCGACGGGGGCGAGGAGCGAGCGCTGTGCGGGGCCGGCGCATTGCGAGCCGACGCAATTTTTATTGCGCCGACGACGACTCCAGTTTCCCAGCATCCCGGAAAATAGTCGGGTGAGAAATGAAGCCCGCCCACCCCCCCCCCCCCCCGGGTCTCATTGGGAGTGGGGAGCGTTTGGGATGAAAGGAACGGGGATAAACGTGTTTACAAAATGCAGGAAAAAAAAACCGAGAAATATCTGGTCAAAGTTTTTCCCGAGTTTCACATCACATCGTGCCCCCCCCCCAACCCACCTCCCCCCCCACCACAAAAAGACCGTCTGCCCGTTTAGCGAAACACACGAGGAACAAAAAAATATATTCGTATCTATATAGGTCTATGTGCGCTTCCCCGTGCGTCCGCCCGCCCGCCCGCCTTGTACGCAATGCAGCTCCGATTCCGCCCGTAAAATAACTGCGGTGAGTTTCACTCGCGAGGCTCTGGTGCAGTGTACATCGACCACTCGGCGTGGAGCAATGCGGCCGCGGGGTGGGTCGCTTGCATATTCCGCGCCGTGTTCATCTTACGGCGATCAGAAATACTGGTGGGAGTTTGTACAGCAGTGGCGTCGTAGTCGTAGTGGGAGTCCTGTTAAACTCCTCTCATCCGCGATCCGTACGATTTGCAGATCGCCCCACGGATAAAATAAACATTGATGCCCCCCCCCCCCCCCCCCCAACGACATAATCGCGAATAAGAGGAGTTTTACAGTAGTAGTAGTAGCGGCGGCATCATCATCATCATCAGGGTTTAATTTCAGGCCAGGTCCGTCCGGGTGTCAGCTATTCCGGGAAAATATTCCCACGCCCGGCACACCACATCATGTTTACCTTCTCTCGCTCGCTCATGCCCGTGGCTACGAACAAGCCACGTGCCATCTACTCCAGTAGAGCAAAGTGCGTGCCCCCCCCCCCGCCCCCCCCCCCCCCCCGGGCGCAACTGCTATGTCCGGTAAATCCTCTCAAAATATCCCGGGAGAAATTAGACCCTGATCATCATCATCGTCGTCGTCGTCGTTGTCATCGCCATCGTAAATATCCCGTCCGCCTGACGCAGTTCAGCAGCATGGCACTTGGTATAAAACGCAGTTAGTGCTTTTCAGGGAAGAGGGAAACAATTACGACGACAAAAGAGAGATTCCTGTCCCAAGATCGAATATTACGGCTCCCGTCTAAAAATTAGAATTCCGAGCCGAGAATTTTATGTTTCGTTTTAAATAATTCACCCGGTCACGCAAGCGAAGGCCTTGGGGCTTCGCCGGCGTCGAAGCAGTGATGGATTTTGTTGTTGTTGTTGTGTCACATTTAGATTTACAACAACAAAAAATCACGTTCCCAAACCTGATCAATATCCACGTCGCTTTTCACTGCATCGTTCAGAAAGAGAAAAAAAAAATACACACCGTGTGTTATTACTAGAACCGGGATAGCCTCTGCTAACTCTCTGTGTCACTATATATATAGAATTTTATATAAATAAGTTTAGGTAGTTTATTTTATTTTAATTGTTCATTGAATAAGCAGTCGCTAGAGTGTGTGTGTGTGTGCAAGTGGGCTCGCAACAGGTGGTGATGCCAGTCACCTCACCGAGTTAACCCATAACACCTGGGGTCTGATAGATGACGGCCCACCAGCGAGCCTTCCACCACTGTTAACGTGCACCTAGCCTGGCACGAGAACCAGTGGAGAGGGTCACCGCCACTGAACGGTGAACTGCGGCTGTTGTTACCATTGTGTGCGTGCGTTCAACGTGCAAAACCTTCCACACTTTCACACGACGTCAAAGTGCACCGAGCCTGGTACGGGGGGGGGGGCGGTGACGTCACCGCAACTTAGTGGTGAACAGTGGTGGTTGTTGTTGTTGTTGTAAATTGTTGTGCTATTGCCACTGCTGCTGTTAGCCCGGGCGTAAATAACCCGGGACCAAAGCACAGAAAATTCTCTCACGAACTGTAAAACGTCCAGCAGGCCACGATATCAACTTCACGCAGAATTACGACACATCTTATCATAAATCTTATCTTAAATCAAACCTACGCCACTGCATGTCGTTCTGTACTCATTTATACACGACTCCAGGTATCATCTCACTTCTCGGTAGGCTTGATACTTGTGGTTGGCAAAACACAATCTCTTGAAAAGTCCATCACCGTTTGGGGTGCGATTTGATCATTTGCTTTCACGTGCGGTGAATGTAGCAGGCTCTAGTGGCCGGAGGGGGGGTCACATTATTGAAAACGGAATATATGAATTCGAACCGGCGAGATTTTGATGCCTGTACCTTGAGTTTTAGAGTCGATAATAGTCCGTATCGATCGATTTCATCGTTACGCCCCTAATAACACAGATGATATGTTCATGTGAAAACAGTAGGAAAATGCTATCGTGTGTAAATTCACATTTATTGGCCACATGGAGAAATTGGTACCACCAAAATGTATCCACCCTCCAATGGTACCAATGTCTGTTTGATGTGGTGTGTTCATCGTGCAATTTTGCGTGCGCGAGACGTGGCGAGAGCATCGAGTGTGTGAGTGTATCTGTTGCGTTTGGTGTGTTGGTCACCATGAAGTCGTGCACGCACGTGCACACGCGTAAGTCACTGTGTGTGCGCTTGCGTGCATGCGTCTGCATGTGTGAGCCGGTGCGCGTGTAGGTGGGCGCTTATGAGTGCAAGCTCGTGTACACGTGTGAGTGCGTTGAAAGCGGCAGGACTTGTGCAAGCATGTGAGTGCGCGCGGACACAAACCAGACGCGCACAACCTGCACCGGTGTAAACGTCCATCCAACATCCACCAACCCTCCGCCTCCTCCTCCTGTTGCTTTGCCACCACGACTCCTCCGACGCCTCACGCCAGGGCCTCAAAACCCACGCCTCAAACCTCGGGGCTTAAATCCCACGCCTCAACCCCAGGCCTCAAACTCTGGGATGAAACCGAGTGCGTCAAAGCCAGGTCTCAACCTTGACCCTTGCTACTTCACGCAGGCCCCATAAAACTCCCACAGGGCCTCACCCGCAGGGCCTCGCCACACACAGGGGGGGGAGGCCACGCACCCCCTCCCTCCCCCCCCCGGGGCCCTCACACCAACATGTGGCGTTTGCGGTGCAGCGCGAGGTGGTCGGAGCGCGAGAAGGAGCGCTCGCAGTCCACGCACTTGAAGGGCTTCACGCCCGTGTGCTTGCGGAAGTGCCGCGTCAGCTCGTCCGAGCGCGCGAACTTCCACGTGCAGCCGTCCCACGTGCAGCGGTAGGGCTTCTCGCCTGCGCGCGCACGCACGCACACGACGAGACACAATGCAACAACTTCAAGATCTCCACGCCACACGTGGCGCGCCCGCACAGCGCAAGCACCTCGCGCAGTCGGGTTAGAACACCGCTCTACGAGCAGACGAGGTGCGAGTCGCTACAATGGATAGAAGCATGCGTCCCTCTGCTTGGAAAAGCGTATCAGGATGACGCCTCCCGTCGTCTGATTGGAGTCGTCTCCGACTCAAAAAGTTGCGCTCCTCCGACAGAGGGACAAACACGTGGAAGTCCAGCAGCAGCAACAGGCGGCAGAGAGAGGGGCCTTCCGTCCACGCGGCATTGGGCTGTGGGTGGAGACTTTTGACAAATAATAATACACGAATGTCAACTTGTAACACACCGCACCGTATTCGCTCGCTCTCTTAGAGAGAGAACGACTCAGAGGCACGAGGAGGAACCGCAAAGCGGAAACATTCCCCTCCAAGCTCTGCGGTCCTCTACATATGAACGTGTTATTGGCCATTTAATGAGTGTTTACGCACGAAAGGAAACCGGAGACAACCCACGCGTACGAGGGAGAAACACTCCATCCCGCAGAGATGGAACAGGTGGAGTCAACATTTTGCTGCCCCGCTTTTTCCTGGCGAGCCAGAGGATGGCTTCCTCCTCAACAGCCCACGCGGAGAAGGGAGTTTCACAACACGAGTGCGATCCAACAATCCGCGCCGCCCCCACGGTACTGGACTTACAGGCCGGCTGCCACCATCATGGAGTTAAACAAAAAATAACTCTCCCAGCGGGCAAAACATCGGCGCACAACTTGAGTCGCCCCTTCCGTACCCCCCATACGCGCACGCATCACGCAATCCCGAGATTGATGCGTACGGCGCCTATAAATAAACCAAACAACGCGCGCATCTTGGGGGGGGGGGGGGGGTAAACATCTTGGGGGGTAAACACGACGGCGGCGGCCAGCTTTACTCTGCCGGCCTTCGCCGAAGCCAGCACGCGTCCCAACAACTCGGCACGGTGGGACCGCCGCCCGTTTGCCGTGCTGGTGCGAGGAGAGCGGCCGCCGGGAGCTGCCCCGTAACATTCCGCCTCTTTCACGCGGCATTTAGCGCCTGTGCATCACGCCACGAGACTCGCGGAGACCCACGCACACCGCCCCCCTCCCCCCGCGCCCAGCTTTGCACTTGGCGGGCTTACGAAAGAATCAGCCGGAACGTGCCCCGGTCGCGATGGAACTCCAAAGCCTCAGCAGAGTTGACTGAGCCTGGTTTATCGCTTGGATGGGTGACCACCATCATTATCACCGCCACCGCCAACGCCACCACCACCACCACCACCGGGGGCTTGCCAGGTGCTGCAGGCGTGCTATTGCGGTGGTGTGGCCAGGGGATGGGCTGTGGTGAGTGCTCGTCCATCGTATGCGGAGTGGGCTTTCTCCGGTTTCCTCCCAAACGCAGCCCAAGTGTTTGTGGCATTGCTATTAATGAGGGCCAGGGGCAATGCTTGCCCTAGGGCTAATGCTAGGGCAAGGGGTAATGCTCGCAATTGGGCTTAGCTAATACTCCCCATACGATCATAAGCGAGCAGTGAGCACCACACACGCGCACAACAACAACAACACACCTCGAATGGCATTTGCTCTGCAGTTACCCAGCCAAGCTTTTAACTCTCGCATCTCACTATTTTTAGAGAACATCAGATTAAATATTTTAATTCAGCTCCAACGACGCTGCGTGTTCCCCATCCGACAATGCAATCTGAGCGATCTATGAAACACACAACGTACACACAAAGACAAAGATTCCCCGTATAGCCTGCAACAGACTGTTGGGGCAAGTGCTGTTAGCGAGCACCTACGAAGGCCGGCACGGCACACACACACACGAAGGGGTGGGTGGCCAGCACCACGCCCAGCCGCTTTTATCTTCCGAGTGGCGATGTTTACACATCACACCAGGTACTCATTTAAGGCTGAGTCGACCTAGGGGAGAGAAATCGTCACTGGTGTTGGCCGCGAGCAGGAATCGAACTCGGGTCGCCCGGATTCGTAGCGTAGCGCGCTAACCGCCTACGCTACCGCTCCCCACTATTAAACGCACGCGCGCACACAAATGTTCACACGCACGTACCCGGAGGTTTATTATTATTATTTTTAGTTGCAAAACACCGTGAGACCATTCTTCTCGATTCGGGGGAAACGGGGGTGGGAGGGGGGGTCTGGAGAGAGACAAATGTGCTTTGTCATCCGCAGGTGATCCGTCACGGCTCGGAAGTGAGAGACTTCCGATTCGTGAACACACGCCTTGCTCAAATGAGTCTCAGGACTCTATCCAAAGAGGGCTCTCCGCTGCTGCTGCTGCTGTACACGGGGACGTTTGGCCGACCGCGGCCGGCGCTGGGAACGAGGTGCCCGCTTGCCCGAAACGTCGCCCCGTTGGCCATCGTTCTCTCTCCGCGTGAATTTTTCGCGCGGCGCGGTGCCCGAAGTTTCGCTGCGGTTTCGTGAGCGTTGCACACCGAGGGGGGGTTTGGTGGCGTGCGCCGGGAGGGACGAGGGAGGAGGTTTGGGATGTTTACGAGGAAGGTGGAGAGGAGGCCGGAGGCGTGGGGGATCAGGGGGGGGGAGGAGCGTGGGGGAGCGTGGGGGATCAGGGGGAAGGAGGCGTGGAGAATTAGGGGGAGGGAAATGTGAAGGATCAGGGGGGGGGGGGGTGTGGGGGATCAGGGGGAGGGAGATGTTGGGGATCAGGGGGATGGAGATGTTGGGGATCAGGGGGAGGGAGGCGTGGGGGATCAGGGGGAGGGAGATGTTGGGGATCAGGGGGAGGGAGATGTTGGGGATCAGGGGGAGGGAGATGTTGGGGATCAGGGGGATGGAGATGTTGGGGATCAGGGGGAGGGAGATGTTGGGGATCAGGGGAGGGAGATGTTGGGGATCAGGGGGATGGAGATGTTGGGGATCAGGGGGAGGGAGATGTTAGGGGATCAGGGGGAGGGAGATGTTGGGGATCAGGGGGAGGGAGATGTTGGGGATCAGGGGGAGGGAGATGTTGGGGATCAGGGGGATGGAGATGTTGGGGATCAGGGGGAGGGAGGCGTGGGGGATCAGGGGGAGGGAGATGTTGGGGATCAGGGGGATGGAGATGTTGGGGATCAGGGGGAGGGAGGCGTGGGGGATCAGGGGGAGGGAGATGTTGGGGATCAGGGGGAGGGAGGCGTGGGGGATCAAGGGGAGGGAGATGTTGGGGATCAGGGGGAGGGAGATGTTGGGGATCAGGGGGAGGGAGGCCTGGGGATCAGGGGGAGGGAGACATTACGAGCGAGAGGGAGGAACAGAGGGCTAGAAAAACGAGTGTTCGCGTGTGTAATCATTACCCGTCAATCCCTGCTCCGGGCGCTGCAAGCCCACACTTCAAAGCCACAACCCTGCCACAACACATCCCGTCCTAGCGTAGAACATAATCATCCAGGATCTATCAACCGCTGGATGAAGCCCACCGCAGGTCATGACCGTCTCTCACGGCCTCACGAAGCAACGCTGCATCCAGCCGCTTCACACGAGCCCCATCGAAACTAAACTAGTTTTTTACACCATTGTAACCTCATTTGCCAGTAAAAAATGAGGTTCCAATGGTGTAAATGCTTACCCCGAGCTCTCATACTCTGATGGTGCATTGTCTTTCAGTTGTGCGCCTTTTGGCGTCATCTGGTCCAACACCATGTGAGACTAGGCTCTAAGGAAAGCTGTCTCGGGTGTGGACCAATCAACTTCAAGGACAGTGCACATTATCAGAGTTGTGTTTTTTTGTTTGCATTATGACCGCAGGTATTGTGGTCTATGTAAACATGACTCCTTGTAAAAAAGGTGTCAGTTTTGTTGCCAAATAGAAGGGTAAAAAAAAACAATTACCATAAACTGGTTTTGTTTTTTACCAGGTGAGGCCCACTGAGCTGAACAACTCTTTTTCAGAAGCGACCTGGCTATCACAAATGACAGCTCAACGAAGTGGCTTATCAATGTGGAAATATATAATAGCCAAGTAGTGTACTATAAAGCCGTGTGGTTTTATAAATGCGGGGGGCAACACCGGAGAACCCGCAGAAAAATCCACGCGACCACGGGGAGAGATAGAAACATGCAGACTCCAAATATACAGCAGCAGGCTTCAGGGGCGGACCCACGACCATCTGTACACCAGGCGAGGTAGCAAACATCTCATAGCCACCGTGATGATGATGATGAGAGAGAGAGAGACACCGCAAACTCCCAAAATACACAACAGGCACCAAGGTCGGGATCGAACCGACGACCTCCTGTACACCAGGCGAGGTAGTTAACATCTCATAGCCACCGTGATGATGATGATGAGAGAGAGAGAGAGACACCGCAAACTCCCAAAATACACAACAGGTACCAGGGGCGGGATCGAATCCACGACCTCCTGTACACCAGGCGAGGTAGCAAACATCTCGCGAGTTTCTGTTCTTCGGCTTTCGTTGCACTTTTTCTTGCCAACGTCCGTGTTTCTCGTCCGTAGATCGCAGCAGGTAATGTACGCTCCGAAAAAAATAGCACGTCACAGAGGGCTGAACGAAAAACGACGGTGCGTGGACGAAATTTTAAATGCGGTTATAGTTGAAATCGGACGAAAGAGCGAAGCGACGAAAATCAAGTGGATGAAAGTGAATATATCGCTGGATGTCGAACTTCTTTCGCGCCTTACGTAGCCAACAGTGCTAGTCGGAGGTACGCAAGGCGTCAGCCCATGGTGGAGACTGCTCGTGGTCGACACTGCCCACCCTGGACATCTGTGTAATAAAGAGCTTTATAGTTCAGCGAATTCCTCCAGATATCAAAACAGATTCTGATTTTGATTCTGACACTGGTAGCATTGGAGGCAGGTGGCATTTTCCACCCCAGGTGGTACCGATCAGGCCCCTTAGCGCTTGAACCATCAATGTGGTAGATCTGATTGACACCTCCAGCAGCTGCAGCAGCAGCAACAGCTACAGCTGTCTCATAGCGCACCCTCGTGGCAGCAATAGAGCCGCCTTGGCGACTTGGCACAGAGAGACGCAGCCCTGAAACTGCTCGCTCGCGCCACCTACTGGCAAAAATGCTTCCACCAACCAAAGCAGAGGTCGCAAACGGGTTTTGATTCCTTACCCGTACCCGGCCGCACCAGGGTCGCAAACGGCCGTACCCGTACCCTACCCGTACCCAGCCGGGTACGGGTAGGGTACGGGTATCGGGTACCTGATTGCGACCTCTGGGATGAAGCCATGTTGCAGGCACGGGTGGGTTGATTCTAGGAACTTGAATTGTGAGAAGAGACAAGACGTTGGGAAATGAGTGACAAACAGTTACTCACCAGTGACTCACGGTCTACCTGTACCCGTACCCGGCTGCACCAGGGTCGCAAACGGGTACCCGTACCCGGCCGGGTACGGGTAGCCGGGTATCGGGTAGGGTACGGGTATCGGGTACCCAGTTGCGACCTCTGCACCAAAGGAAGCTCGAAAGAACCCCTCTTCCTGGGAATTTGGCCTACTCTTCCGTGCTAGTCCATTCATCAAGACACTAGTACCCTCAGCTCTCCGCTACTCGTATTCCCACTCACCCATGCCTTGACCTGCCCACTCATCTGAACACACACCTGCGTATTTACCTCCCACTCACTTCTCTACTCACCTATATTCTCAATTGCTTTCCTACCAGAGTCCTCGATTGTACTACAACAACAACCGCCATTCGACACTAAGTGGCGCTGACGTCACCACGACGCTTGTACCAGGCTATGTGCACGTTGAGGCCACGTGAAGTGTCGAACGCCCGCTGGCAGGAGGTCACGGGGCAGACCCCAGGTGCCACGGGTCGACTGACTGAGATGACTGGCTGATACACCGCCTGTGCCCCCTACTATGCCAACTTGCTGTGCTTTAGCCACCTGGCGCTCCGCTCATTGTTGTGAGCGTTGCTCCTCCGCCCTCCGTTGTTGTTAGAGGGCGACTGCCTCCAACTGCCCAGTAGCAGCATCCTTCACGAGCCTCTTCCACAGAGGCCGATCTTGACACCGCTGGTACCAGTCATTGGCAAGTCCACTCAGCTCCACATCCTCCTGTACCACATCACTCCATTTCTTCTCTAGCCCGTGCCGCGCCCGTTTAGCCCCCTTTATCCGGCCGACAAAAGCTGTTTAGGCATGCCGTGGTTGGACATGCGGGCTACGTGACCCAGCCAACGCAGCCTTGCCTGCCGGAGGAGCTCACCGATGGGACTTTGTCCAGGTCTTTCAAGGATCTGTGAGCTCTTCACACAATCCAGCCTGGTTAAACCGAGGATGGCTCGTAGGCAGGCCAGCCTAAATGTTTCTAACCGGCGAAGATGTTCCATTAGAGGGGTCCACGTTTCACAAGCGTAGAGAAGGGAGGGAATGACCGTGTCTGAGAAGAACTGAAGCTTCGTACGGAGCGACAGACCCGGTAGCTTCCACACGGCGTTACGCAACCGATGAAAAGATATTGCAGCTCGACTGATTCGGAGTGAGACCTCTGCTGTTAAACCGGAGCCGGTCATGAGCACACTGCCCAGGTATGGGAAACTCTCCACGCTCTCCACAACTGCCCTATCAGCCGTCTAACTCGATTATACACTCACCTGGCCACCTACCTACCCACTTACAAATCCACTGACCAGTAGCCTCACCTCCAAAATTGAAACTCATGTATTTACCCACTCCATGCCACACATTGGTATCTGAACCTGCCCACTCACCGACATCCTCACCTCTATGTATGTTGAACTTTTTTCATATCGTACGTAGCCAATCGTACTAATCGGAGGTCACCTGTAGTTTCACGCTTACCCACTCACCTGCCCATAAACTTGTACCTCCACCTGTCAAATCACCTGTTCACTCACTTACCTACTCACTTAACCACTCACCTGCCCACTCACCTGTAGTTTCAACTGCACTCTCACCTGCCCACACACTTGTACCCTCACCTGTCCACTCATCTACATACTCACCTACACCCTTACCCACTCACCTGCCCACACACTTGTACCTCCACCTGTCAAATCACCTGTCCACTTACTTACCTACTCACTTAGCCACTCACCTGCCCACTCACCTGTAGTTTCAACTGCACTCTCACCTGCCCACACACTTGTACCCTCACCTGTCCACTCATCTACATACTCACCTACACCCTTACCCACTCACCTGCCCACACACTTGTACCTCCACCTGTCAAATCACCTGTCCACTTACTTACCTCCTCACTTAGCCACTCACCTGCCCACTCACCTGTAGTTTCAACTGCACTCTCACCTGCCCACACACTTGTACCCTCACCTGTCCACTCATCTACATACTCACCTACACCCTCACCCACTCACCTGCCCACACACTTGTACCTCCACCTGTCAACTCATCTGTCCACTTACCTACCTCCTCAATTAGCCGCTCAGTTGTAGTTTCAACTGCACTCTCACCTGCCCACTCACCTGCTCACACACTTGAACCCTCACCTGTCCACTCACCTACACCCTCACCTACACCCTCATCTACACCCTCACCCACTCACCTGCCCACACATGTGCACCCTCACCCGTCCACTCACCTGTGTGCGTGCGCATGTGAGCCTTGAGGTGCGAGCTCTTGGTGTACACTTTGTCGCAGCCGTCGAACTCGCAGCGGTGAATCCTCCTCCTCTTCGAGTCGGGCGACTCGGGGCTCCCCGACCTCTTGATGCCCTGGGCGCTGGGGTCACGGGGGGTCACGGGAGGGGGGGGGTCACGGTTAGGGTCGAGGGTCACGTACGTGCGGATAGACGTTACAGGTGTGGCGTACGAATCTATGTTCCACTGCTCGAGTTGATCGAGATGTCTACTACGTCGCCTGGTACACAGGAGGTCGTGGGTTCCATCACGACCACGACGCCTGTATATTTGGAGTTTGCATGTCATTTAGAAACATGCATTTATGCTATTCGGCTGCTATACATGTCCACGTAAAAAGCCACTTCGTTGAGCTGTCATTTGTGGCCAGGTGGCTACTGAAAAAAGAGCTACATAGCTCAGTGGGCATTGCCTGGTTCAATAAAAATAGTTTAGTTAGTAGTTTTTGGGCTTAGCTCACTAAAATTACAAAAGCAATAGTATAAAGCGCCAATGCATCAAGAAAGTACAAAATCAGAGCCGAATCAACTGCACTGCAGAAGACAACATACAATAAAATAAATGTATCATAACAATAGTTGGCTTGGACAAATTACATTCAGAGACCTATTATAGACAAATTAAGGTATGGAAAAATCTAAATGGATCCACTGGAATCAACTCCCCCTCTACATTGAGTAGCACTGCCCATGGACTAAACACTCCCCATAGACTCAACACTACCCATAGACTAAACACTGCCCATAGACTCAACACTGCCCATAGACTCAACACTCCCCATAGACTCAACACTACCCATAGACTAAACACTACCCATAGACTCAACACCGCCCATAGACTCAACACTACCCATAGAGTCAACGCTGCCCATAGACTAAACACTCCCCATAGACTCAACACTACCCATAGACTAAACACTGCCCATAGACTCAACACTGCCTATAGACTCGACACTGCCCATAGACTCAACACTGCCCATAGATTCAACACTGCCCATAGACTCAAAACTGCCCATAGACTCAACACTGCCCATAGACTAAACACTACCCATAGATTCAACACTGCCCAAAGACTCAACACTGCCCATAACCTCAACACTGCCCATAGACTAAACACTGCCCATAGACTCAACACTGCCCATAGACTCAACACTACCCATAGACTCAACACTGCCCATAGACTCAACACTACCCACAGACTCAACACCGCCCATATACTCAACACTACCCATAGAGTCAACGCTGCCCATAGACTCAACACTGCCCATAGACTCAACACTGCACCATAGACTAAACACTGCCCATAGATTCAACACTGCCCATAGACTAAACCATGCCCATAGATTCAACACTGCCCATAGACTCAACACTGCCCATAGACTAAACACTCCCCATAGACTCAACACCACCCATAGACTCAACACCACCCATAGACTCAACACTGCACCATAGACTCAACACTGCCCACAGACTCAACAATGCACCATAGACTCAACACTACGCACAGACTCAGCACTGCCCACAGACTCAACACTGCACCATAGACTCAGCACTGCCCATAGACTCAGCACTGCCCATAAACTCAACACCGCCCATAAACTCAACACTACCCATAGACTCAACACTGCCCATAGACTCAACACTGCCCATAGACTCAACACTGCACCATAGACTCAACACTACCCATAGACTCAGCACTGCTCATAGACTCAGCACTTCCCATAGACTCAACACTGCCCATAGACTCAACACTGCACCATAGACTAAACACTGCCCATAGATTCAACACTGCCCATAGACTAAACCATGCCCATAGATTCAACACTGCCCATAGACTCAACACCACCCATAGACTCAACACCACCCATAGACTCAACACTGCACCATAGACTCAACACTGCCCACAGACTCAACAATGCACCATAGACTCAACACTACGCACAGACTCAGCACTGCCCACAGACTCAACACTGCACCATAGACTCAGCACTGCCCATAGACTCAGCACTGCCCATAAACTCAACACCGCCCATAAACTCAACACTACCCATAGACTCAACACTGCCCATAGACTCAACACTGCCCATAGACTCAACACTGCACCATAGACTCAACACTACCCATAGACTCAGCACTGCTCATAGACTCAGCACTTCCCATAGACTCAACACTGCCCATAGACTCAATACTGCACCATAGACTCAACACTGCCCACAGACTCAACAATGCACCATAGACTCAACACTGCGCACAGACTCAACACTGCCCATAAACTCAACACTGCCCATAGACTCAACACTACCCATAGACTAAACACTCCCCATAGACTCAACACTGTCCATAGACTAAACACTCCCCATAGACTAAACACTGCCCATAGACTCAACATTGCCCATAGACTCAACACTGCCCATAGACTCAACACTACCCATCGACTCAACACTGCGCACAGACTCAGCACTGCCCACACCATAGACTCAGCACTTCCCATAGACTCAACACTGCCCATAGACTCAACACTGCACCATAGACTCAACACTGCCCACATACTCAACAATGCACCATAGACTCAACACTGCGCACAGACTCAGCACTGCCCACAGACTCAACACTGCACCATAGACTCAACAGTGCCCATAGACTGCACCATAGACTCAACACTGCACCATAGACTCAACACTGCCCATTGACTCAACACTGCCCCTGTACATTAAGCTACCCCCTCCTTAACCTCCCTCTGTTCCTCTCTCAAAGCCTCGCCCCTCCACCCCTTCCTGTCCCTCCCCTGCCCTTTCGTGATCCCTAGGTAACCCTCTATCGCTGTCTCTCATTCCTCACTCCTTGTAGCACGCCGCCGCCATCTAAATCATTCTACTCTGTCACCGTTTTGCAAGCTATGTCAAGCGCCTCGAGTTGAATGCGCTCGATAATACACAATTACATTATATTTTGGACGATCCGGAAAACTAAAATCTATGTAGAGTCGACAGGAAGATGTCACAGGAAATGACACTCACGTTGCCACTTTTTTTTTCCTGCCAGAAAATTTGATTTCCCGGCAAAATTGGCAAAACGTGGCAGGACGACGCCTTAAATTACAACGAACGATATCTGAAGAAGAAAACAAATCGAGAGGTGTCCTTGAACATTTTGGAAAACAATTAAAATTCTGAAACTCATTTCTAGGAGGCAAGTAAACACCAAAATATAAAAAAAACAACATCCCACCACCTGACGGCCACCTGAATTTTTATCTAAAATAAGGAGACAAATTGGTCGCTCAACTGACATCCATCATACACGTTTTGTTTGGGTTAGATCGCATAAATATAATGCGTCGTTAAACCCACCACCACCCGACACAGCCAACTAGTAAGGGTTGTCACGTAAACAGAACATGCCAATTTGTCACTAGTACAGCACTAACCGGTGTGTTGGAGAGCAAATCCACAACGTTTACAATCTGAGTACGACGTTTTGCCAATAATTACAACTAGCTTCATCAAGCGACAGCCAGATTTGTGTAGAAGTCCACCTGTGTTGTTCCTCAAATAGATGAGGCTGGTTGTAATTAATGGCAAAACGTCGTACTCAGATTGTAAATGTGGTGGCTTGGCTCTCCAACACACCGGTTAGTGCTGTACTAGTGACGAATCGGCCACTTTCTGTTCACGTGACAACCCTTACTGATTGACGGGATTAACGACATATTTATATATTTACGCGATCTAACCCAAGAAAAACCTGCATTATGTATATTGGTCGTGAAAACCTACATGTTAAACTCTACTGACGTGGTTGATAGATGTCGATGCTGTATACAGGATAGATGAATATGCACTGCAGAGAGGGTTATTGTGGATGTTCTGGAAAGCAGACGTAGGCTGGGTGTTGACTGCAGCAACAGCGTTGTAAACATTAGACTCTGTGCTATTTGTTATTAAATATGCGTTATTTTCTCCAGTAAGGAACAAGGCTTTCGCTCATTTATGTTGCTCTCTCCTGCAAATAGTGAATACAAAAAAACACCGCACCGAAAAAAATACACGCTTCGACGTTTGAGTTTCCGATCTTTGAGGGCCCATCGATGTTATCATCACAAACATTTCTCGTCTGACGGCACATCGACGTTTCTTTGGATTCCCATCCGTAGTTTTGTTTTCACCATCCCTACCCCAAACCCGCTCTACCCCACATCGTCCTCAACCGTGCCCCCCCCCCACACCCCTGTCTGACCCCCACCTCCTCTGACCCTCCCCCCTGACCTCCCCCCCGCCCCTCATGACCTTCCTCTCTGACCCCCCCCCTGACCTCACCCCCGCCCCTCATGACCTTCCTCTCTGACCCCCCCCTGACCTCCCCCCCCGCCCCTCATGACCTTCCTCTCTGACCCCCCCCTGACCTCCCCCCCGCCCCTCATGACCTTCCTCTCTGACCCCCCCTGACCTCCCCCCCGCCCCTCATGACCGCCCCCCCCCCCCACATCCCTGTCTGACCCCCACCTCCTCTGACCCCCCTGACCTCCCCCCCGCCCCTCATGACCTTCCTCTCTGACCCCCCCTGACCTCCCCCCCGCCCCTCATGACCTTCCTCTCTGACCCCCCCCCGACCTCCCCCCCGCCCCTCATGACCTTCCTCTCTGACCCCCCCCCGACCTCCCCCCGCCCCTCATGACCTTCCTCTCTGACCCCCCCTGACCTCCCCCCCGCCCCTCATGACCGCCCCCCCCCCACATCCCTGTCTGACCCCCACCTCCTCTGACCCCCCCCTGACCTCCCCCCCGCCCCTCATGACCTTCCTCTCTGACCCCCCCTGACCTCCCCCCGCCCCTCATGACCTTCCTCTCTGACCCCCCCCTGACCTCCCCCCCGCCCCTCATGACCTTCCTCTCTGACCCCCCCTGACCTCCCCCCCGCCCCTCATGACCGCCCCCCCCCCCCCACATCCCTGCCTGACCCCCACCTCCTCTGACCCCCCCTGACCTCCCCCCCGCCCCTCATGACCTTCCTCTCTGACCCCCCCCCCCCGACCTCACCCCCACCCCTCATGACCTTCCTCTCTGACCCCCCCTGACCTCCCCCCGCCCCTCATGATCTTCCTCTCTGACCCCCCCCGACCTCCCCCCCGCCCCTCATGACCTTCCTCTCTGACCCCCCCCCCGACCTCCCCCCCGCCCCTCATGACCTTCCTCTCTGACCCCCCCTGACCTCCCCCCCGCCCCTCATGACCGCCCCCCCCCCCACATCCCTGTCTGACCCCCACCTCCTCTGACCCCCCCCTGACCTCCCCCCCGCCCCTCATGACCTTCCTCTCTGACCCCCCCCGACCTCACCCCCACCCCTCATGACCCCCCCCCCTCCACCCGTACTCTTGCGAGAGAGAGGAGCGCGCCTCGTCTGCCACCAGGGACGTCATCTCGTCTTCACTGCCACTCTCGCTTTTGATGGCGCGGATCCCAGCCTCGGCTCCCGCACCCTCTGAGACAATGGGACGGGGACGGGGAGGGAGACGTGGGAAGAGACAGAGAGACACAGGGGAGACAAGGAGACACGGGCACAAAATTCAGTCATCCATCAACATCAGTTTACCAAGTAGGCTTTCGCGACCAATATCATCCATCATACAGGTATATTTTTTATGAGATCGCGTAAATATGTGTCGTTAAACCCGCCGCCAACCGACACAGCCAACTAGTAAGGTTTATCACGTAAATAGAACGTGGCCAATTCGTTGCCAGTACAGCACACCGGTGTGTTGGAGTGACAAATCTACAACATTTACAATCATCAACATGACCACCTCCAAAACCAACCCACTGTTTGGCCACAGTGGTACATTCCACGTTCTCACGTCCACACAGGTGAATGGTAACGACCTGCCCATCGGGCGGTTCCATTTTAAACCGAGGGGAACATCAGTCTTTACATTTAAATTCATCGACATTCAAAAACCTGCTAAGGTGACATCTGAGTGTGATGAACTTCACAGTCGTAATAGGCGCTCGCTATCACCACCTGCTTACTCCTAAATCATCAGAAATAAGCGCGATCTCGAAAGCTTAGCAGCTGTGAGCCTGTATCAGTGCCTGGATGTTGGTGGTCGTGATGGCTACGCATGTGGCCTGTAATACAGCACTGTGGAGGCAGCGAGGGTTGGTGGCTCACCACACAGACGGTGTAAAACTCCCTTTCCGTGTGGGCGTCGCGGACAATCCGTGCCCTGGCCCTGCCAGGAGGAGGCGGTCCAGCTAGAACTGTGGACTCCACCCGTTCCGCCTGTACGGAATAGAGTGTTTCCCCCTCGCACGCACTCACTAATTGGCCGATAACAGCTCAACGTACAGAGGACCGCGAAGCTCGGGCAAATTGCTGGCAGCGCCGGCTCATCACCGCGTGGTTCCGGCTGCTGCCTTCTCGCTCGTCCGCGGGTTCCTCCTCTCGGCACCTGCTGAGTCGTTCCCCCCCTCCACCCTCCTCTACTCGACGAGGAGTGATGGCAGCATCAGTAATCCCGAGTTGAAATCACTCGTTGCTGTGACTACGACGCACGGCGTGGGTCGGCAAACTGCGGCTCCGGAAGCCACCCGCGTGGCTCTTTAAGGGGCCTGGCCTCGTCACGTGATTTTATGAAGGGGCCCACCGTCTCCTATTCGCACGCAATGCGGCGTAATCAGTGGCGCAGTTACTCCATCATCAGCTCAGGCGGCGCGGCGATCGGTCAGGGTGGTGCACCCACAATATTTGATTTGTCTCGCACGGTCGCACCGAGGAGGCCTTTCGATATCGCGGCTCCTTCTGCCTCCTCGCAATCGTAACGCTCACGGTCTCGAACATTTAACGCTGTACGGGGCGCTCCGTTTTAAATGAGCGTCGTTGTTCTTTAACACTGCTTGTTGACAACAAATCTCATGGTGGGTGTCATGGGGGGCCCAGCTCGTAGCTTTGGCCACCAGGGGGGGTGGAGTGGGTGGCAAGGCAGGGGGTGCCTTGCCCCCCATGCTCGTTACGCTCTTGAAATATAACAAAAAATTGGAGAGAATTCGAACAAAAAAATAGCTCTGCTCTCGTTATATTTTCGTTGCCTGACCCCTGAGCATGCATCGACAACGCGTGCAGCAGGCACGGGCAGGCAGCAGAGGGCAGAGCAGCAGCATCCATCCGTCTGCAAAAAAAATAACTCCCACCACAAGCAGCAGCTGCAGCCCGCGTTGACCAGCGTGGTGGAGGGGTATGGCCAAACCATTCCCCAAGTGCCCCTCAAGTGGGATGAGGGACGGCCCTCATCCAGTAGTGGATTCACAACACGTGCAGATTAGAAGACGCGCTTCCCCACACCCCACCCGAATTTTCAAGGCAAAAGTTGGGGGTGAGTCTTAGAATCCGATAAACGTGCGCGTGTGTGTCTGTGTGTGTCTGTGTATAATCCCGGCGACCCGGGTTCAATTCCCGCTCACGGCCAACATCGGTGACGATTATCTGAACCGGTCCCGGGCCTCCCGTACGTCGACTCAGCCTCAAATGAGTACCTGGTGCGGTGTGTAAACATCGCCACTAGGGAGACAAAGGCGGTCGGGCGTGGTGCTGGCCACCCACCCACTCGTGTACCGTTCTGGCCTTCATAGGTGCTCGCTAACAGCACTTGCCCCGACAGTCTATTGAGGCTGTATGGGGGATCTTTGTTTGTCTGTGTGTGCTTGTGTGTGTGTCTGTGTGTCTGTGTGTGTGTCTGTGTGTGCGTGTGTGGGAGCGGTGGCGTAGCTGTTAGCGCGCTGCGATACGAACCCCGGCGACCCGAGTTCGATTTCCACTCACGGCCATCACCGTCAGTGACGACGATTATCTGAACCGCTCCTTGGATTGCCCTATGCCGATTTAGCCTCCAAACGAGTGGCTGGTGCGGTGTGTAAAAACATCGCTACTGGGGAGACAAAGGCGGCCGGGCGTGGTGTTGGTCACCCACCCCCTCATGTGCCGTGCCGGCCTTCATAGGTGCTGCTCGCTAACAGCACTTGTCCCAACAGTCTGTTGTTGTTGTTTTCATATTTGTAGAAATTTGATGACACCAGGCAGAAATCTTGAGTGCGTCGTTCTTTCCGGAACGTCTCATAATCCCGTGAATACGGCAGTCTACATGGCACCCAAGTCATTCATCTGACGCTGCACGAGGGGGCGAGTTACGCCTCGATAGCGAATATAACTCGGCATATAACTTCCATGCAGAAGACAGAGATCCCCCGTGTAGAGTCTTTACAGACCGTTGGAGCAGGTACTGTGAGCGAGCACCTATTACGCACTGCACCGGTGACTCGTTTGAGGTTAAGTCGACCTAGGGGAGGCCCAGGACCGGTTCAGATAAATCGTCACTGGCGTTGGCCATGAGCAGGAATCGAACTCGGGTCGCGCTGGTTCATCGCGTAGCGGTAATGCCCGTGCCTCACAGCAAGAAGGGCCTGGGTTCGATTCCCGACTGCGCGTGGAGTTTGGATGTTCTCTCTCCCTGTTCTGCATGGGGTTTCCTCTGGGCTCTCCTCTTTCCTCCCGTGGCTAACCCCAAACTTACAATGTGACTTAACTGCTGGTATCATGCACCAACAACATTTCAATGCTGAAAAAAGTTACCTGCAAATTGCTCAGTTGGGATTGTACACACACAGAGAGAGAGCATCAAAAACATTAAATGCAAGTAAAAAAATTCAAAAGTTTATAGAGGGGGTCCCAAACAGGTCGGGACACATTGGGGCATTTTTTTTTGTTTCAACACTGGCATGAAAACATTTGAATAGTTTATATTCTTTTGGGTTATTTAATTTTGTTTTAACACTGGCATCAAAACATTTTAATAGTTTATATTGTTTAAGTTAATATTTTATCCATTTATCATAATTAACAATTTTCTTCTTCTTCTTCCTATTCAGACGGCGTTGACAAAACTCGCCCAAGAATCCTGAATGAATCGAGACTACAAAACGCAATTGATGAACGTTCTAAGATTGCACAGCTGTAATCTTAAAAACAAAGGCCTACATTAATTTTCAAAACAGAATGTCATGCATCATGCATGAATCTTAATGGAAGTCAGTTTAAACTTTTGTTAAAGTACACGAAATAACCCTACGTGGTGCGTTGAAATAAATATAATAACTCTGTGTCCCGGCTTTTAGGGCCACCCAGTATGTTGAAATCTTGGTAACTGGAATTGGATTATTCTGCACTACCCACAACATCGGCCCGCAGGCTCATGACAGTCCTAACATGACTAGGATAGACATCCAGAGACAAGGAACACATCAACTCAAGGCCCTCCTGATCCTAAACGACGGTGTTAGCAACCAACAAGACGTTCTGCGTTTGACGATTTCAAGGTGTGCCCGTGTGGAGCATAAGGTGCCAACAATTTGGCCATATCGAACCTCCAATGAGCAGGGTAGGCTACGTACAGAGCGGAAAAAGTTCACATACATACATACTTCTGTAAGTAGCAAGACCAAATGAAATAAAATCTGAAAGGTCTTTATAAGCAAACTTCACGCTAGTAGCGGTAAATTACTTTCACCAAATTACTCGCCCACTTGGCTATGTCGGATGGTGGAGGGTTTTCACTCCAAAAATTTGGCCAGATCATTGTGGCCTAACCCAAACATCGATTATGGATAACACTGGCTCCTCTGCCTCACCATCACCATCTCTAACCCTCCTCACCACCCTCCTCACCACCCTCCTCATCGTCCTCCCCCACCTTCTTGCCGTGGTGCGGCGTGCTCCTCGATGACGGGCACGGCGATGGACACGCCGGGGTGGCTGCGCACGGCCGCGGTGTACACCACGGGCACCGGCTGCACCACGAGCGGCACGCGCCGAGCGCCGGGCCCGCCGCCGCCGGCACCCCCCCCGACGGAAGGAGGCGGTGGCGGCGGCGGCGGTGGAGCCGTCGCCCCCCCCACCGCCACCGCGACGGGGGGTGGGCTCCAACCGCGAGCCGCGCGTGGAACACCCGCACCAGGCCGGCTCCCGTCGGCGTGGCCAGCACCGCGGCCGTGCCAGGCAGCGCCGACAGCGCCAGCGACTGGCACGTCACCGACGACGGCGACGAGGAGGAGGAGCAGGACGAGGTCAGCAGCGATAACGCCGACGGAGACGGACGACGACGGCGGTGGCGGCGGCAGCGGCCGCGGCGGTAACGTGTGGCCGGCCTTGGTGTGGTTGAGCCGGGCGGTGGCGGAGGCCGCGGGCGAACTCCGGCTCGACTTATTGATGGAGAGGTCGACGGGCTCCGTCTGCACGCTGTAGGGCTCCACGGAGTCCGCGGCCAGCCCCATCGCAGCCGGGGGCCCGACGTCGCCCGGTGTGGCAGCCTCCCCCTGTTGGCCCTGTGGGGGCTGTCCCCCGGGGGGTTGGAGGGGCGCAGTGAGGGATGCGGGGGAGGGGGGTTGGGAGGAATGAGCGGAGGCACAGTGGTTAGTGAGAGCAACTTTTTTATTTTATTTAGAAATTTGATGCATGATCATGGGCAACGCCGTAGGCATCTTATCATCATCAACCCACCATTAATTAAATTCATTTCACTATCACCGTGATTATTATTAAAATCGTTACCATCGTTGTTTTTGTGTTTCTCAGTGTTATTGTCAAAGTGCATCTAGGCTGGCACCATAGCTGTCATAAGTGTCAGCTGTTGTTGTTGTTGCCGTTCCACTGTATCACTGTGTGAGGTTGTTTCTAAACCACGTGGTCTGTCTGCACGTGTACCTGTACGTGTGTGAGCATATCAGCCTCGATAGGCGCTCTCTACAGCACTTGCCCCAGCAGTCCATCTTTGGAGGTGGGATTATGGGAAGGCAAGGGGGGGGGGGAGCATGGTCAGTGTAAAGAGGAGAGAAGAGGTGAGATGGGAGGGGCAGTTATAGGTGAGAGGAGAGAAGATGGGAGACTGGAGTGGAGAGGAGGTGGGGAAGGGGAACGAAGGGGAAGAGGTAAGACGAGAGGGAGGTACCAGTTGAGAGAGGGGAGCCTAGGGAAGAGAGAGAGGAGAGCAGAGGGCAGGTGGAGAGGAAAGAGGTGAGAGAAAAGAGTAGCGACGGGGAGTCGAGAGAACAGCACAGGGAGAGAGCACAGAGGTGAAACGGGAGTCCGGGAAAGAGGTGAGAGGAGAAGGACAAGGAGAGTTCAAAACAGAAGAGGGGGAGAGGTGATGAGATAAGGGAGGAGAATTAGCAGGCTGGCGCGCACACGCGCGCGTCTGCCTATGTGGGTGGGCCAGTCGAACTCCTGGATGCGTTAATCGGCCCTGCAAACAGGATACACAGGGAGCGGGGCTGCTTCATTTGATCCGTCGCTGGCTGGAGGGCGGCGAGCCGGCGGTGCGGCGGCGGGTGACAGAGACGCGCCCAGGGCGAGGGGGCCGCCGCTGATCGCGGCCAAACGGGACGGAATTAAACCGGCACAGGAACGCGGAGGCTCATCCAGGGGCCGTGTCGCACACACGCACTCACGCACTCACGCACGCACGCACTCACGCACTCACGCACGCACTCACGCACTCACTCACGCACTCACGCACGCACTCACGCACTCACGCACGCACTCACGCACTCACTCACGCACTCACACTCACTCACGCACACTCACTCACGCACTCACGCACGCACGCACTCACTCACGCACTCACGCACGCACGCACTCACTCACGCACTCACTCACGCACTCACTCACGCACGCACTCACTCACGCACGCACGCAGACACAGCGGCCGGGGGGACGTCGTGCGGGAACAGAGCGATGGAGGCCCAGGCCGGTCACGCTACACTCACTGCCGTGGTAGCAGCGACAGCAGTGGCAGCAGTAACTGCAATAACGTAACCGCAGCTACAATCCTCGTGACCGTTGCCAACCAAAAATATCACGGTCATCAGCAGCAGCTGTGGCAGTAACAGCAGCAGCAGCATCATAACCGCAGCTACAATCCTCGTGACCACTACCAACCATTCATTTCATGGTCATCAGCAGCAGCTGTGGCAGTAACAGCAGCAGCATCATAACCGCAGCTACAATCCTCGTGACCACTACCAACCATACATTTCATGGTCATCAGCAGCTGTGGCAGTAACAGCAGCAGCAGCATCATAACCGCAGCTACAATCCTCGTGACCACTACCAACCATACATTTCATGGTCATCAGCAGCAGCTGTGGCAGTAACAGCACAGCAGCATCATAACCGCAGCTACAATCCTCGTGACCACTACCACCATACATTTCATGGTCATCAGCAGCAGCTGTGGCAGTAAGCAGCAGCAGAATCATAACCGCAGCTACAATCCTCGTGACCACTACCAACCATACATTTCATGGTCATCAGCAGCAGCTGTGGCAGTAACAGCAGCAGCATCATAACCGCAGCTACAATCCTCGTGACCACTACCAACCATACATTTCATGGTCATCAGCAGCAGCTGTGGCAGTAACAGCAGCAGCAGAATCATAACCGCAGCTACAATCCTCGTGACCACTACCAACCATACATTTCATGGTCATCAGCAGCAGCTGTGGCAGTAACAGCAGCAGTAGCATCATAACCACAGCTACAATCCTTGTGACCACTACCAACCATACATTTCATGGTCATCAGCAGCAGTTGTGGCAGTAACAGCAGCAGCAGAATCATAACCGCAGCTGCAATCCTCGTGACCACTACCAACCATACATTTCATGGTCATCAGCAGCAGCTGTGGCAGTAACAGCAGCAACAGCATAACCACAGCCACACTCATTGCAACCACGAGTGTACTTGTTATTCTATTATTTCACTTCTTTACTCAGGGAAGCCTCACTGACTCCCAAGACTCCTGTCAAGTTTTCTTAGCGGGTGGGGGGATGTTGCTGCTGCTGTGTGTGATCCCAATTGAGTGATTTGCAAGTACATTTTCAGCACCATAGAGTTATTTTGGGTTAGATTGAATAAATCTAAATGTGTAATTAAACCCGCCACCACCCGACACAGCCAATTAGTAAGGTTTGTCGCGTAAACAAGACGCGCCAATTCCTTACTCGTACAGCACACCGGTGTGTTGGAGAGTAAGCCCACATTTTCAATTCGAGTACGACGTTTCGTCAGTAATTACAACCAGCATCATCAGACGATAGCCAGATTTGTGGAGGGGGGGGGGGTGGTTAATGTATACATATACATTACAATAGTTACCCATTACCGGTTCAAGTTGTCAGCATTTGAATGTTTTGCCAATACCATTTCCACTGTGTGTGTGAGTTTAGCTCTGAGAGGAATCCGGAGAACCCGGAGGAAACCCCATGCAAAACAGGGGGAGATCAAACAAACTCCACACAGGCAGGCGCCCCAAGTCAGGAATCGAACCCAGGTCAGTCTTGCTATGAGGCACCTGTGTTACCACAGCGCCACCCTGCCACCCAAACTACAACCGCAAACATTTGTGATGATCATGAACGTGATGATGGTGATGATGATCATTATCATCATGAACA